TCCCTACCTACGCCATGCAGCAGGCGCCTGCCAAGATTACCCTCCCCCCAACCCCACCTCTCCGGGGCCCGCCCCCTGGGAGACTGTTGGGGTAATGAGTGACAGCGGAGTAGGGGGGGTAGGCAGGGACCCAGCCCTCACGTGCCCCTCCTTCCCTTGTCTGCAGCCTTGGGCTCCCCTAACCATTCTGAATGTCATAGTTGTGGGGTGTCTTAGGCTTGGTTTCCAGCCACCCAGGGCGGGTTAAATGGCTCTGGCTCAGTGACAACGCCTATGCAGTAACCGTTACTGCCTGATGACCCCAAAACCAGGCCCCGCAAAGACACTCCCCCACTCCCTCAACGGTCTTAGGGTAAGTTTTGGGATCTTCTCCCAGAGTCTTCCAGCAGGAGCTCCCTGCCTTATCTCTACAGTAGTTTTCTTCACCAAGGCCGAGAGCTGTGTTTCCTCCTCTCTCTCTCAGCCCCTCTCTTCCTCCCTCCCTCCTTCTGTCCTTGTCAGTCTCTTTCCTCCTCCTCCTTCTCTCTCTTTCTCTCTCTGCCAGTCTCTTTTTGTCTCAGTCTCAGTCTCTGTCTCCGGTCCCTCTGCCTCTCGTTTGCACGAGCACGCACGCGCGCGCGCACACACACACGCTTTTCCCTGTCCCTCCCTCCCTCCACTCCCGGATGGTCCTTAGCGTGTGGGTGTGGCTGAGGGTGAAGCTTGAGAAGTGGGGGAGGGGGAGGGGGGCACTAGCGTTAGGCCTACTGGTTTAAAAAAAATATATGTGTGCCAGGATCCTTCCTCAGTCCCCATTATAGTTAGTGCACTTTGCAGTCTCTGCCCCCTACTTTCCTCCTCCAACCCCTAAGGGCTGGAGACCTTCTAGTGTCTGAGATACTGGAGGAGGCTTAGGCTGGAGGGGAGTCCTGCCACAGATTTAGGAACGTGTAGGCTTGGTGTCCAGTGCCTGCTCTAGCTTGCCTCTTTGCTCTGGGCCTTCCTTCCCACACTAAGCCTCTCCTAGCCTTCTAGTCCCAGAGAGTTTTATCCTCCCTTGTCTCATTTACTTTCCCAGAAACCTTAATCCTTCCTGGCTCCTCACATGGCCTTGAGATTATCTTTGCTCTCTCCTACATACAGAGATAAAAGCAAGAGTTTTCCCCTTCAGTTTCCCAAACCCAGTGTCCTTTATACTGTAACCAGTATTCTGTGTACCTACCTCCCACCTTCCGCTTATTTCTATGTCCCTGTACCTCCCTTCTCATTTTCAATTTGTTCCATCTCAGTTGGTCCACCTCATTCTTTTGTGTTGCTGGCCCTTCTCAACCCATACTTGGATCCTTGGCTGGTCTGTTTGTGCAGAACACCCGGTTTCAAATCGAAGGGAGACAGTTTAAGGAAGGATTAATGGTGTCAGAGTGGTGGCATAAAAGCGTGTGGGCTGCGGAGACAGAAACAGACCAGGATTCTAATCTCAACTCTGCTTGCATTTTAGTCAGTTGACTTTGGACAAATCACAAGGTCGTCACCAGGTCTTAATTTTCTCATCTTTAAAACAGAGATAATGGGGCGCCTGGGTGGCTCAGTCGGTTGAGCGTCCGACTT